CTTAGCCATCCAGAATACGATAGATTTATCATATTGCTACAAAAGGAACTCATCACCATAAAGCAACGAAAGGTTACCCCACAAGGAACATAACAACCCGGTCCTTATAGAAAGAACTCGGGAATCTCATAAACAAGTAGGGACATCGCAGAATAAAGAATGACAACTCAGAAGACAAGATTCTTTCCATCATAAATGGTTTCAAAAAATAGAAGATTACACATCTTACAAGACCCAACGAACTCGGTACTACGACAAGCAAGGTAGCAAAGAGGAACCCGGACACAGCTAGGCTTTGGAACGATCGCGTGTTCCAAATTGCTACTCGGTAGAACAAACCGCACTTTCGGCTACACTGCGTTTTCTTCAAAGGACTGGACGCAAAGGCATCCAAGGCGGAAATCAGCAAGACGCGGGACAACATAGACCAGGGGGAAGCGGCAAACATCTATCTACCCAAGTCCGATGTGATGCTGGATATGGTGTTGATCTGCACCGGACAGGCCTCGTGGCAAGCGGCGAGGATCAACCTGTAATCGCTGGATGAAGGAACGATCCCACATCACAAGACTTCCTCCAACTACCGCACGTGCATTTTCTCGGTACAATGCCACTGTGGGATTAGTCTACCTCTATCCCTATCACAAGACTCCTCTAGCTACGACAAGATACACAAGAACTACAAAATACATGGGCTGCTTTTACTTCACAAACTACCATATTCATGACTACGTAAGATTTCAGACCATGCAACAAAATGCTCGATGAATCAAAATAGCACACAAGAAGGATATTTATAGACCAAAGAAGCGGTGCACATGGACCGGGAGCACCAACGGAACAAACCTAACAAAGAACATAGTGAAAAGAGAGAATTCAATGAAAGGGGACTCAAAGCGTGAAGGAGCAAAAGATTAAAAACGAGCATATTCGGAAGAATATACCAACAACATACAACCTCGTGAACAAACAAAGCATTTACTATCAACCACCACCATACAACTACATCTGACAACAGCAGACTACCAGAGAACATGCCAAGATCTTGTATCCGAGTTCTTTTCGGATAAAAGAACCCAGGTATATGCTCGGGGGCTGCAATAAGAAAGGCTTTCAGTCCTTTGAACAAACTCAGATTCAAGACGGGCTGCAATGAAGAGGTTTTAGTAACTTGAACAACTTCAGAATCAAGACCTCCAACTCTTTGTTCCAAATAGCAAGAGGCTCGGGGCTACACTCTCGGTGAGTGCACTTTTTCTTTGAAAATGCGCACATCACTCGTAAGACTTCTTCAAGACAAAGCAGTTTTCAAACAACATAAGATTCAAGACCCTTCAACTTTTTATTCCAAATAGCAAGAGCTCTGGGGGCTACACTCGGTTGAGTGCACTTTTTCTTCTTCAAAAGAGCACGTCACCGTAAAGACTTCTTCAAGATGAGACCACTTCAAGACCCGATGACAAAAAGAACCCGGACCTAGCTATATCCGAGCTCTTTTTGATAAAGAACCCGGATATATGCTCAGGAGCCCTTCGATGAAGCATCAGAGCGACTTCAAGAAGACCCTCCAGCTCCTTGTGCCAAATAGCAAGAGACTCGGGGGCTAGACCCAAATGGGAGTACTTTTTTCGTCAAAAAGATACACACCACGTGAAGATCTCACGAAGCGCTACATGGTTTCGCCCAAGAAAGCACTCGAACGACGCTTGTTCCTGCTCGGCAAGACCTGAAGGAACAAGACGAGGCTTCCAGAGCTCAACCATGAAGTGCTCGGGGGCTTGTCGGTGTGGGACCCATGGGATACCCCACAAAGAAGGAAGAAGATCTAGTCTAAACTAGGATTTTCCTATGTAATCCTAGTAGTAGTATTATTCTATAATCCTACTAAAAACCCTCATTGTAAATCGACTAGGATTCTGACCTCATGATATATAAAGGAGGGCAGAGTTCCTAGAGAAGAGACTTTACGACACAACACTTGACAATCAATCCAACGCAAAGGCTAACGCCGACTGGACGTAGGGCTATTACTCGATCAACGATCGATGGTCTGAACCAGGATAAATCGACTGTCTCTTGCGTTTATCGTCGAAGTTCCTTGATACCGAAGCTCGAACAAATCGCCCGGTACCCCCGTGGCAAAGCTATCGATGGTGAAACATCGACAGTGCCTAATAACAGGCTTTACGCCCGCCATCAATGAAGCTCGAGCACTCATTTTCTTTTTCTATTCCTTATAGCTTACTCGGTACTCCTCAGATCTTCGAGGGAGACATGGCGTGGACCCTTGTTGATCGGTCACATCACGCCTATTAGATTGGGCCGAACTTTCTCTCGCTTACTCATCTCAGCTTTTTAAGAAATACCTTTGCTTACCTCTGCTTGCGATTTAGAATGATTTTCGGGCTTTGTATTATGTTGTGATCAATTGACTTCAAAGATAGCAAATCAAAGAAAAATATTGAATAGGTGAAATCCACGGTTGGTGAAGTGGTGCCTTGGAAGCACCTTTGCTAAACTACATACTCACTCCATTCCACACAAAAAAACATTTTAGAAAACGAATCGGCACGGTATCCCGCTTTTTTGGCCCAGCTAAGCACGGCTCTGGCTCGGTTGTCACTTGTCAAGATGCCTTTCAGCCCGATAACTAGGGCCATGCTTAGGCCGTGACCCAAGCATGTCCTAGCCTGGGCCGCTGTCAAGTGCCCAAGCTAGTTCGGCCCGATAGCTAGGGCCATGCTTGGATCAGGACCCAATCACGACGCCGCGACCGCCCAGTATCTAAAGGAAGGCCCGATGGAGGCCCACTCCAATTTATAAATCCCTCTCACAGTGAGACTAACCCTAACTTATTTTTCTTAACCCGCGCCTCCACCGCGCTCTCTCCTCTCGCGATCCACAGCACTGTGCAAAGGCCGCTTTCCTTTTCCTGCATGCGCTGCTGACACCCTTTGCCCTCCTCGCGACGTTGTCGATACTGTGCATCTGCAAGCAGACACCCCTCCTCCCTTCTCTCTCATCGCTGCCGGTCCTGTCCCAAAGACCGAAGATCCTAAGCACCGCCGTCCCCATAGCCATGGTCCCCGAGTGTCGCTACTCGCCCCCGAGGTGGAGATCCCAAACCCCACCGCCACTCAGCCCAAACCCCCGAGCGCCACCGCTCTGCTCTCGGGAGGCTGAGATCTTGAGCACCGCCGCCTCCTGCCCCAAGGCATGAGATCCCAAGCACCACGCCCCTAGCCCCAGCCCCCCATGTGTTGTCGCTCCTGGCCCCGGAGGTCGGAGATCCCGAGTGCAACTACTCCCGTCTGGGAGGCCAGAGACCCATAGCATCGACGCCTCGAGCACCACCGCTCCTCTGTCCTAGAGGGCGGAGACCCCGAGCGCCACAGGTCCCATACCAAGGCTAGAGATCCCAAGTGCCTCTCTATCCTATCGGTCACTTGCTCCAACCGTGGGCTAGCCCAACCTTCTTGGGAGTGTCGTGCTTCCCAAGTTGGCTAGTCCGAAAAATAGCTCAGTGTCGTGCTTGGGTCGAATGCCCAGCCCGTGACCCTAAGAGGCACGGCCCCAAAGCGACACTGGCTTGTCGTGCTTGGATCGGTCACTACAGTCAGGCCTAGCTCAAAGGGCCGGACATTTGGCCATCTATATTGACATGCTCATAAAGGATCGCTTTCTCACAAGAACAACCAGTGAGGGACTAAGGGAAAGGATAAGCCTCCTCCCACACCATTAGTTTTTTTCATTTTTTTATTTCTATATATATTTTGGACCATAGCGAGATGATGGATGGACCAGTGATGTACTTGGTATAGGTGGAATCCACACTTTAGAATAAAATATTCTTGTTCTTTTGAGATACATTTGAATGCTATCATGTCATTTATTGTGGGGACGGAGGAAGTAGTCCTAATAAGTGTTGGAATATGCTACTGATTTAACTAGTTTTTTTTCTGAACCAGTTTGTTTTCCGAACCTTGATCAAATCTGTAATGGAAGCATCAATAAGTGATTTACATCCGATCCAACCCCATGCACCTTGGACGCTCGGGCAAAACCATGCCAGTGGAAAAAAAACAATAGGAACTTTGCAATACTTTGGAAGATGAACAAGTTTAGAACTGGTTGAATTGACATGAGGTTTGGTGCAGTTATGTGACAGATCTTACTCATCTAAAATAAAACTATATGGTTGTTACTTAATCCATGGAACAAACATCAACCCACTCATCAGACACGTTGAAAGAATATCAACCGCCAATACCAGCCATACTGGATCTAAAAGCCGGATACACATTCGGCCATTGTGAGATGCCGAGATTTAAATCCAACAAGACAGTAACACAAAGACACAAACAAGAACTCGATTGTCCCTCCAATTGCATTGCCTTTGCAATTGGATGATTAGAACACCAAAGCACCCATTTTATTTATTTATTTTATTTTTTTTTTTGTCGTCAAGGCTCAGGGGTAAAGACGGTATTAATGAAAAATCCTTATTTATTTATTTTTGTTAAGAAAAAGAAAGAGCTCATAATGAAAAAACCCGCGGGAGGCCAAGCAGCCGATTCCGACTCTTCTTCTTCTTCCAGCTCACAACAGGTTGGCGCGTGAGGGATACGCGACTCATCTTCCCAAAACCGACTCGTCTTCCCAGGCAATAAAACCCCAGCGCGTCGGCGTCGCCTCCACCCCGCCTCCCAGAACAAGAACAATCGATCCCCAAAGTTTTCGATTCCTGCTATCTTGATCTCGATCTCCCGACCACAGCTCCTCGCGCGGTTCGCGATCTCGACCCGGCGGCTCCCTCGATCGATTCCGGCGAGGCCGCAGGTGCTCCTCCCTCCTCGCCCGATGTCCGCAGGTGCTCCTCCCTCCTCGCTCGATCCCCGCTCCTCTCGACTCGTCGCCCCTTCGGCTCCTGTTGCGATGCCGAGCCCACCTCCGGCCCCACCCGCGGCGGCGGAGGATAAGAAGCGTTCCTCTCGCCGCCGATGAAGGTGAAGCTGCTTTTTCCGTACGCCGTGTCCTGCGTGTTCGGCGGCATGGGCCGCGCCTGGGGCATGGCTATGGTCGGGCTCCACATTATGATCTGCATCGTCAAGGTCATCTCCTTCACTACTGACCCCGAGGAGGCCCGCTTCTGGATACCGATCTTCCGCGTCTGGGTGTACCTCTGCATGCCACGGTGGTCATGACGTGCGTGTGCATCGTCTGCTACATGCCCGTGTATGGGGTGTACGCCATGAGGTACGATCCGCCGCCGCCGCAGCCGGCAGCGGCTGCGGCGGTGCAGCTCCCACCTCCCCCTCCAGAGATGGACATGTGCTAGGTTTGGTCTGTGCGTGCGGTATGTGTTTCGTTGCTTGCCCCAGGTGCGTTCTCTAACCTGTTCTTCAAGTCTCTGTTTTAGTTGCTTACTTATAGGTGTTGCTGCCCACCTTGCTCAAGGTACATTCCTTCCCCTTCCCGGCCCTATCTTTGGTTCAGCACTTTTATTGTCGTATTGCTTAATTATGCAGCTACAAGTATCTGAAATCTGAAATATTAAGTTTTCAAAACTGAAAATATCTGGATTTTAGGTTCCATATATAGTATAGTTGTTCATGCACCCATATGGTTTGGTGCAGATTTCTTTGTTTGTGCTAGACAAATCTGTTTTCAAATTGTTTAGGCACCACTAAAAATTGGAAGATGCTTCAGGTCCTTCTAGCTATTAATTGGTATGTTTTTCAAGGCTATGCTCAATCTATCTTTTATAGAACAATGAATCCACAATGTGATGATACTTCAGTAGTTGCATTGTGGGAGCACTTCAGTGGCTAGAAATTTGTTAGTTATTGTCCTAGTATGTTTTTCCTCGTTTCTTACTTTCTGTATTTTTTGTTATTTGTGATAAACAGGCTTGGTGATGAAAAGATCAATGGAAGGACCAGTGTGCTGAAAAGATTTTGCTTTCTCTTGCCCCACCTGCCGAAGCATAGATAGAGGACAGATGGTGGCAAACATCAGTGAAAGCACATCACTTGACGGCCCGAGCTTAACGTGACCATCACAGAAAAGTGGAGGAAAAGAGCAACCTGTTGAGTGCATGGTAACAAAAATGCCAGCGCACTGAATAAGGATAGAACACAACAAGTGGAGCAGGAAAATACTGCAAACCAAGTGGGAGAAGACCCAAGTTCGAAGTTTTTAACTGCAATAGTTATTACTTTTGTGCAGCTTGAAGTTTCTCATTTGCAGTAGCTACTTTTTATTTCATAGTTTGTTCAGTATCTTTAGGAAAGATTGAAGAAGATATGGTGTATAGTTCAAAATAGTTGTTTAGACTGCTTGTTTCAATTTTGTTCATTCAGAAGGTGCTTTTATGTCTCTATAAAAGAATTTCTAGTTGCCATTTGTCTGACCTGGAGTAGTGTTAGAAATAAATTTGTTTGAGTTCTTAATAATTTATCACTTTCTCTAGTTCTACTTGGGTTTCTTTTGTTTCCTGTGGTGTTTCTGCTGGGTTTTATCACTCCTGGTGACCCAAGTGTGACCTCTGTAGTATATGCACAAAAATAGCAGCAGTGTTGAAAAAGGTCTGAAAATTTTGTAAAGAATGGTACAGAACAAAGATTTCTATAATAGTTTATTTATGCTATTTTAGTATCTGACTGTACTATGAAAATGGGACAATAGGCAACTAGCATCTAGTACTTCCATTGCATGCTGATTGGGAAGTCTAATTGAATTGTGATGACTGCCTAGTCTTGGGTCTCACACATAGGCGATTTATGCATATGCGAATGGCTATGTGATCCCTTTCTGCAAAATGGAACAGCTAAGGATTTTATTTTCCCTTTTGTGCGCAAAAAAATGGAATGAACTGACTAATACAATTGTACTGTGACACTAATTTTGTTTTATGTTTTGGAATCAGCTAGTCACTTGATATATGTCAAAACTGTTAATCTGGTAGTATTTTCTTGTTAGTGACGTTGATAGCTAATCTAACATTTCGTTTGTTTGACCTTTTGAATTATTATTTTGCAAACCTTCAGGTCTGGGGACAAAGATAATGCTAGATATCGCCTAGTTGGTGGCATTGAGCATTGCAGGAGGACCTAACGGGGGCACTTTTTTGATTATGTGAGAGGAAGCAGGATTGTCCTTGAGCAGGAGACGAGCAATAGCTCTTCCGCTTGGTTTCGTGCTAATGATAAAAGCATCAGAGAAGTGTCTCTAGACGAAGTTCTCAAGTGCGACGCTTTCCTTCTTTTCTATGAGAGAAGATAGAAGCTTGAGACATGCATCATATTATGCCCAAGTAATAAAATGAGCAATCAAATGGCATTGGCAAGCATGATTTGCTGAGGATCCATTCAGTGCACTCAGTCCATACATGTACTGCTTTTGCTGAGGCAGTACAAGCCGGATGTAAGCTTACAACCCGTTTCTTCTCTCCTTTCTCTTCTCTCTCCTCCACCTCAGCATTCAGCCATCTATTATACTTGCTCTTAGCACCTTGTAGGACAAAAATCATTAGCATGACAGCCTGGTAGAAGTGATTAGATAATTGACGTGCGTTATTCTGGAAGCAAAGCGTCGTCCGCTTTAATCACCCTGTTCGGTTGGTTGGGGCTAGGCTGGTTGGGGCTGGAGTGGGCTGATCCCTGTTCGGCTGGTTGGTTCATGGCTGATTTGAATTCAATAGGCCCATTCAAAATATGGCGCCAACAGCCTAGATTTCACTACACATTTGGTGCCAATGAACAGTAAAATGAACCAACAAGGCATACATTTCATACAAGACAGACACCCAGGTGTCAATATACAGTCCTGGCGTCAGATATAGCACAGGAGAAGCATATTCCCGGTGGAAAAAATTTGTATCTAACACAAGCACAATAGGGCACATATGAAATTCACTTAATAATACAAGCTACATGATGGAACTACCAAACAAAACAAAACAAAACAAAACAAGAGAGCCGCACAAGAAAGGCTTTGTAACAAGCACTAGGGAGGTTGTGGCATACCCTCTCAGGCACTCCTTCCAACACAGTATTCTACAACACATGGATTATACCTGTACCCCAGTGCCAGCAACATTGGCTTACCTGTAACAGCAAAGAGACAATTGTCAAATTCATATCCATTTGCACTGTAATCATCAACTTGCCACTAGCACCATTGGCTTACCTGTACCCAAATATGTCAGTCCATGGGTAATCCACATCCTCACATTGTCCATGGAATCATTTGCACTTGTAGTAAGCCACTGCACCGATAGTGGGCTTAGTGGATGGAGTGGCTTAGTTACTTCATTTTTTCAAGTAGTTATTGATGTAGACAAGGCCCAATCTTCCGAAAGGTATGATAACGTCGATTGGTGGAAACTCGACGTTCACGATCTAGGCTTTGAACCAAGACTGTTTCGGAACCCCGCAACCGTTACACCACTGCTCCGTTGGTTATCAACCACGCGAACGCGATTGACCTCGCCGAGAAGGCTTTCCTACAAGCGATTCGAGAACTCAAGCAAGAACGGGACGAACGCAACCTAAAATTGCAAATAGACATGAGGCTTATGAAAACAAGGAGGAGTTCAAGTCTTTATTCGAAAGGACTAATCACCACAGGCGAACAAGATCAAGAACTAGGGCCCTGGTTCACAGCAAGCAGCCTTGGCGGCATAGTTGCAGCAAAACGACGTATGTTTCACGAGGAGATCAAGAACTAAACAAAACCCAAATCCTAAGGAGAGCGACGGCTGCTAATTATAAAGTCATGGGCGTCACCCCGCTGGATGCCCCCCTAATGGGCCCAAACACGATACACGGTCCAACGGACCAAAAGACGGTGTCGCAGCACCCTGACAGATTCTGGACACTGACTTGTTTCGACAATTCCCGTTGATTCCAAAGGGCTTTTGACGTGAGACCACTTGCATTGGCTTTCTTATCTAATTAGCTTTCCATCCATACGTGGATCGTAAAAAACGGAGCTCGGACGCGCCTGTGTGACCAGTTTTATGACAGACTGGTCCTGGAACCCGAGATGGGCTCGAACTTGATTTGAGCCTCCGCCTTGGTGACTCGAACTGGATGAGCTTCGGGCCTCCTTCTCGGTTAGGACAATCTCGCTGATCTCCTCGGCCTCTATCTCCAAGCAAGGTCATATGCATGGAGCTAATGTCCTTACCATCCTCCCTTTCTTGATGAAAAGCCGTCCTCGGCGTCGATTGTGCTTGAAACTGATCCTACACAACACAAAGGAGAACGGGGTTACGAAGACAAAGGGACCTGAAATAATTGTGAGAAGGAACATGACCATGTTTCCAAGTTTCTAGCGTGTCATCTCGCATAAAAATTTCAGCAAGCATAGGGACTCCATGATCCGAATGCACACGATGTATGTCAACACTATCCTGCAAAAGATTAGAACTAACCAAAGACAGTGCAGGAATAGATGGTCTAGCAGACATAGGTAGCAACCAACAATGGTCCCCTTCTTGGAAGTGAACTTATTTCTTTGAGGAACATGAGAAAATGTTTGTATTATTATAGCTGCCCTCTAAACAATCATAATCTTGTACAACAAAAGGAGAATTCATATTAGTACGAACGTATACTCGATGTATCATATATTGTCCTTTGTTGTTATATTTGCCAATAACATGATATGTGTGTTTAGAAAACCAAGGCAAATCAACATATTTAAAAAGGCTCTCCTCCAAACAATCTAGGTTATACAAAACATCAAATTCAATGTAACCCAAAGTATGTAAAGAAGACAACAGTTTGAGCTCATCAGTTTTAGTAGTAATATGAATAACATGTTTATTTTTAGCACAAGTGATTGGTTCAAAAACATGTAAAACTAAAGCATCATCAACCAATTCATCTTTATCACAAGGAACATCAAGCAAATTATCATGGGACAAAGATAAAGTCAAGAGAGGGTTCCACTAACAATTGCTCTATGATAGCATGGTTTGTGGAAAAATTTAGTACATTAAAATAATTCTCACCTTCCGTTAGTGTAGCACCATGGGCATTACCTATGTTCTCAGCAGGAGTAATAGGTGCATTGTGAAGTAATGGTTCTGAATTTGCATATGAGGTTGTGAGCTCCTCATTTTCTTCCATGTCATCCTCTCGCTTATGTACATTATCCGCAGAAGGTTAGTCATAGCAAGAGGAATAACAATGAA